TGTTATGGCATTTCCATAAGGCCATGTCCACACGAATGCGGATATTTTTGAAACCGCCTAATTTTTATCCGGATTCCTGTGGGAGGGGCTTAAACCACTCTGGAAAGAGGTTTCGAAACAATGCGGTATCGGTTAGCGGATTCATTGGTTTCGTGTGAACACAAATAGGCCGATTCGAGTAAAAAGTAGCGGCTTGAGAAATATCTGGATTCGTCTGGACGTAGCCTGATGAGAGCATGTTTTGGGTTATCATTTGTACGTTCTCAGGGGCGAATCCAGGAATTTTTGATTGGGGGATAGGTGCGTCCAAACTTTGGTTCAGAAAGGACTGTTGACCTTTATTGTGGCAATTTTTTTTCTCACGGAGACGACCAAGTGTTTCCCAATCTGTGAACGCCGGTCGCCTTTGGCGCAGGAAATACTGCTTTGCGAGCAGAGGCGAACAGATCATTGGAGGGCCACCCAAAAACAATTACATTTAATTTCTTAATATCCCTGGAATTTAGTTTAGTGGCAGAATACAACGCACGTTTCATTAAAAAAATCAGCTAGTTAAAAAGTGATATACGATCCTGTGGATGTAAGAATTTCAGTCTCAAACCAACGTCAGGTCTGATAGCGGGGTCCCGGGACCCCCCGGACGGACCCTCCCCCTGGATCCGCCACAGTGTTCCTGAAGTGATTTCAACGAAGCATTCTCTATTTCTATTTTCCACAGCTATTTTGCAGGGTTGTGGGGCGCAAACGATTGTTTTTGTCCTCGCCGTCCTGTCATCAGTTGTGATATATCCTGCACTTGGGAAGTATCAAGAACATGCGATCACACTATTTACGGCACTCGGGGCTGCCTGCCTTGCAGGGGACGCCATCTTTCATTTGATTCCGCACGTAAGTACGGTCGGAAGCAGCTCTCCAAAAGCGAACAGATAACGAGTTGCAGAATTTACGGTATTTTGTGTGTTTAATTGTACAAAAAGCTACATGCTGTGTTATGCGGGCTACATGCAAGAAACTATAAGATTTGAACATGAGCCATTAATCGGGTTGCCCTCGAGATTTACGAGGTTGTGCTCTGTCGAACGTAATAACTGGTTATTATTTTCCTTACAGGCGTTGAATTCTGACGTTCACCACAAACATGGTGGTACTACTCCAGACGATCACGTGATTTTGTGGCGATGTCTCCTGATGGCTTGCAGCATTTATTTCTTCTATCTCTTTCATCTTTACTTTCATTCCCAAGAGGTAAAAGGCAAACTAGATCTACAAAATCGTACAATTGTGGTTTTTCAAAGTATTACACGAGGTTATATTTCAAGAGTTGCCTGAGTCTGATATAATTTTATGGAACTACTAAGGTCTACTAAGGCAACATCTTTGAACGTCTTAGGGCCTATTTATATGACGTAATCCAGCCCGCTTTAATTTGCGTTGTGTTAATATAAGACGGCGGGCTGGCGGTAGCCCGCTTGCCGAGATCTCGGCTTGAGCAACTGGGATCTCGCTAAGCTGGCCAGCCCGCCTACTCATATAAACACAACGAAGATTTTAAGAGGAAACAAGGCATGAGCCAAGCCAGACTGGTAACGCGGGCCAGCCTGGTCACAGGTAGCCTAAGCTCGAAATATGAGCATCGGCGAGCATCGGCATTGTTGCGTAACATTACCTGTGGCCTGGCTGACCGGGATTGCTCACCTGATATAAACAGGCCTTTAGTTTCATCGTAACTCGAGAGAGGAGTTTTTATTCTGTTTGGAGCTTATGAATTGGAGATTGTATCTCTTCATTGCAGAGCATGGAGCTTTTCGTTCTTCTACACGCGCAAAGGGAGGTTCTGGTTCTACAGTTGAATCAATGGACACTCGTATAAAACTCTATCGAATATTCCCCTTGGAATATCAGTTAGATAAATGCCTTAAACGGTGAAAGGTGTAATTGGGTCCTACTTTAGACAGGCTCCCAGTTGGAGCGGGGCGAAAAAGGAAATCTCACCTTGGGGAGAAACAAGGCCAGGCCAAGCTTAGCTCGCTTCGCTAGCCGATTTTCCTATTCACCCCTCTCCCCTTGGGAGCCTGTCCTCTAAATTGGGCCAGTTTTTGAGATAATTCTTGCTGCCGCTTTCTCTGTTTTCAGGGTGGTCATTCTCACTGGCATGCCATATCAACCGGTGACAACCATGAGAATTTAGAGTTGTTACAACACGATACCGAAAAGTCACTCTTAAATTGTGATACGGTAAAGGAATCTAAGCAGCCTCGGCCTCATGAAAAGAAGGCCCTTGTATGGATGTTGATGTTTGGTGAGATGTTACATACAGCAAGCGACGGACTAGCTATCGGGGCAGCCTTCTCCAATGCAGCGGCAGATGGTCTCAGCACCTCACTTGCCGTTTTGTTTCATGAAATCCCAAATATAACCGGTAGGGAAATAATTAATCATGGGTAATAAAATGTGGTTATCTATGTTTCCAAGAAATTTAAGTTGTGACAAAATATCCGTATGCCCGTTCGTACGTCCACCTTCGTCTTAGCGGATGCGAAATGTCACACTTACCAGCCTAGAGTTCAAAGCATAAATATATACAATCTGTGTTTATCTTGATATTGGACACCTATGTTATGGTCAATTGACAGCTGTCAAATCCGCTGACTAGTGTCACATAAATGTATGCTCAGGTGTTCAAATAATTGAGTTGGTTGCTTTAAGTTTTCCACTGACCAGTTATTGGTTTACAATTGATCGTTGGCTCAGCTCCATCTTTTTAAGACGGATTTAGTTTGTTTCTTGCCAATGATGAAAGTTGAATTACTTCAGAGAGACATTTCTCTAAGGATCCCGCGAAAGCTTGGCTTTTGGCCTTGGCTAAATCTGTATATTACGTCTTTCAGACCACGGGAAGTCCATTGTAGCTCAGTCGGTACAGCGCTCAACTGCAGAGTGGGAGGTCGCGGGTTCGAATTTCAAGCTGAACTCGAAGACAAAGTTGAATGACTCTCCGATGAAAAGTTAAAAAATATCTTCGCTTAAAACAATTCGCCACTGCAGTTCAGCTCCTGCGAGAAAGCAAGCAAGAAAGTTTCATGTCACGAAAGTTTCATGTAGTAATGACAATTTGATGTTCATTTCAGGTGCTTTCGCCATCTTTGTTTCATCTGGGGTCTCTTTCCGTAAAGCTCTTTGCCTTTTATCAACATGTTACTTCTTTTCCTACGTGGGCGTGGTTGTTGGTGCTATATTAGGTACCAGTCTTAATCTGACAGTTTGGATATTCGCTGTGATCGCAGGGATGTTTCTTTACATTGCCTTAGCAGAAATGGTAAGTGGAACTTACAGTTGTTTTCGTTTCCCCAATCTCTCTCTTTCTCTGAGCTGGAAGCGGCACTGCGTATCCTTCTTGTGGAGATGTTCCCTCTCCTACCAGGAACTTGGCAACGACGACGGCGACGGCAACGGCAACGGCAACGAGAATTTTCAAGAACCAATATGTCTGCACTATACCGGATAGTCAAGTTTCACTTGTCGAGATGAAAGCTTTCCGTACTTATAGTAGGAACGTTCTGGCACAGAAACCTATCCAATATGTGACGTAGTGGCGGATCCAGACCTTCAGATCGGGGGGGGGGGAGGGGGCCCGGTCATCCAGACCCTGAGATAAGTGGGGAAGTGGGGGTGGGGGCTAATCTCAAAAAAAATTTTTTCGGCCCTTCAGATCTCAATTTGGTCTAAGGGGAGGCCCGGGCCCCTCCTCTGGATCTGCTACTGTGACGAACTGTCAAGATCGACCCAGCGCAGATTCTCTCCTGTTACGGAAACAAACTGATTTGTTGCGAGACAACTCGAACATGGGTGGTACAACGCGCAACATCGCTTTTTAACTAATTAATACACTGTCTACGTTTTCCTTTTAGATTCCAGAGATGTTCATTTCTATAGCAGCTAGAACAGAGAAGAAAAGATGTTTTATATTACTCCAAAATCTGGGTATTATCTTAGGATTTTTGATCATGATGTTATTAGCAGCTTTTGAAGAAGAAATAAGGAGCACGTTACAAACGTTATAATAATGTAGAAGTAGCTTAGCTGTGTTAGGGATACATATTTTTTAATTAAAGGAGCTGGTCTCAATTTCACTATTAAAAAAATGCATTTCATTTGATCATCAATGTATTTAGCACGAAAGTGCTTATTGGGGGCACTATCCAACTGGAGACGAGACCCTCATTTTACGTGGTCATCCGAGCCACGCGAAGGTCCAGCCGCTTGCAGTGCAAAGGGAGTACCTTCATTTCTAAGTTATCTTAAGACCTTGAGTATTGGTCCGGTCCCGGGAATCGAACCCGCGACCTCCCGCTATACAGTCAAGCGCTCTACCAACTGAGTTAATCCTGCCGCGGTTAAAAAGAATTTGAGAATTTCTTTGACTGTAATTATAGAATTTTGTTACAACCATTCCTGAATAAATAATCAAACAGACATTTTTTTTCGCTAACGTGTTTATTAGCTCTACAAAAGAAAGGTTTTACCCGAGGAAAGAGTACAATCTTTACCATACTGGTGTTTCAAAACAATGAAACGGCGGCCATGTTGGTGTCTCAAACCAATCCTGTGGGAGTTTGGTTAAATCTTTTTGTTATGTTTTAAAACAACTTTCTTTTGTTCCAAGAAATTTGCACAAGATGCAGGCCATCTGAGTGAAAAGGTTCTATTTCGATTTATTTACGCTGTTTCATGCTGTTGTTTGGACATAAAAATTTTTATCATTATTTTTTTCTACTTCTCCTGTCGTTGTTGCTCTTTTGCGAGTTTTCATTCTAAATATTACTTTGTTTATTCCTCTTCGTGATTTACCTTCAATTAAACAAACTTTCTGACTATAGAATCTACTTCTTCAAGCTGCATTTGACCACGTAAGACAATTATTAACCAACCCTAATAGTTAATTAAACATCCTCTTTGTAATATCCCGAAGCCTTTCTGACGCTTGTTAACATTGCTGTGAAATCTCGTGACTCGGGATAAAACAAGCGAAACAGGTTTGGACTCCTCATTCGTGCCACGTGGAGTCCGCTGGACAAAATGCGGTCCACTAGGTTCCAGGCTGCTTGATGATCATTCACACTTTCATCCAGTCCTAAAGAATGTTCAACGTTCAACATTAAGTTTTTGCAAAACAACGTTGCAAAAAAATTGCAGATGATTTGTTATTAAAAGCATTTACAATTGCATTTGAGATAGCTTGTTTCCTATATTCCTTCTTGAAGAAAGGAACACTGAAAGTGCAACCTCAAGGTAAAGCTTTGTTATTATAGATCTAGAGTAGAAGGGTTTCGAAGTCCTTGGGACCCTTTGTTATACATTTTTGTTCACTTGAAGGTGCGCAACGCTATGCCGTGATCATTCCTATCATTTTGATCTTATTGACCATAGAAACGTTGCATTAATTTATTCCATTACGATTTGTGAACAAGAAACAAAGTATTGTGCAACGTCAGAGAGCTTTGAACATAAACTGCAGCACCGTCGTTTTTATCTTTGATGTTTGCTGCCTTTCATTATTGGTCTCCTCTACCAAATGTCTATGGGTGGAATGAAGTTGAAGTTTTTAAAACTATTTTTATGCGTCTGCGCTAACTGTCATTATTTTTCGAATTTTGGTCACTCGTTGCTTAGCATGCTTTTGAAACTCACCTCCAGTCCGATCCCAATCGCCCTTATACATGCCAATCATTTGGTATCCATGACTATACCATGACCCTTTTGGTTTGTTGGGGTACGCCCCGCAGTCCAAAGCATATTGCACGGGCGCAAAAATCATCTTTCCCTCAATACAATGCTAAACAGAAAACCAAGATAGTCAATAACCTTAATACCCACCCACCCCTCCCCTGACCCAATGTTAACATTAACATCTCACTCAAGGCAAAATGATCGGGTAGGGGAGGGGTAGGTAAAGAACCTACAAAAGTAAGAAAATTGTCGGGGTCAAGAAGGAAGACATAAGAAAAAAAACATGACTCATTTGCTGGGATGGGTTCATACTGCTAGGATCCAAAATGCCGCGTATGCGGTATGTTTGGTCATAAAGAATAAAGGATGGTATAATTTCGAGTTCACTTTCGCTAACCTGATCCATGAGAAAAATGAAATAAGGGGGTACAGAAATCCAATTCCATCTCCCGATTCAGTTCCTTGCCGATGGCCTGAGAATGCGGGACCAGATATAGGCTAGACTTGAAAACGATAGAGTAATGCGCTTGGCGCGGACTGGGAACAAAAAATACAAGTCCCACAAGGATCAGGGCACTGTTCAATTGGATCTTAGTATTCACGAGCTTCATTCCTGTTGGTGCAGCTAATAATAAGGGATTTCTGTGTCAAGAAACTGAAAGCAGGCACAGCTCCAGCTGAAGAAATAGTGGAGAGCTCCGCGCACTTAAAAAATGGAAGTGGCTAAATCACATCGATTTATAGAGCGTATTCACTCACGTGGCCAGCATCCATGCTAAATAATACGAACAAAAGAAAGTTTATACATAAGAAAAGAGTTCAATTCCCACTGGGTTGTCCTCGGTACGCCAACATGGCCGCCGTTTTACTGTTTTGGAACACCAATACGGCCGCCGTGACGTCATGTGAATACGCTCTAAAGTAAATCAGATTCAGTTATCTGCAGTTGCAGTGGAAACAAGGTTTTACTAGGGGTGCTCATTGCGGGCTCAAAATTTTGTTTCCAATCGATTTTATCAAGTATTTTCCAAAGGCGGTATAGCCCACGTTCGGTATATTAAAATTCTGGTCATTTTCTTTATTTGGTTTTGTTTTCTTTGCGCTCCTGGAAATTGTGAGACAATGGAGTCGTGAAAGAATTTGCAATTTTGTCCCTAAAGACTCGGAGTAATGTTAGAAATTTAATATACTAAACGTGGGCTATCAAAATAGGTGCGGAAAAATTCAATATCGGCCATTTTAAATTCGAGCCTGAGACTGGGTCCGTGTTGAATCAAATTGCACGATGGGACCGTTTCGGGGTACGAAGGTCGACCCAGCATCGCGCGAAACTTTGTAATTGAAGCGAAATTAAGGGTCCCCAAAACATTCCCATAGTGCAATTCGACACAACACCGACCCAGTTCTTCTCACAATCTCGAATCATGGATCAAGAGCAATGAGAGCAAATACTGGAAACTTACTTTACGAGAGTCTTCAAAAATGGAAGCCGGTATGTCCATGTGAACATCAGCAGTGAGGATAATATGTTCTGGGTCTTGAATTTGTCTTATCCCATAATTAATTGCGCGAGTCCTGGAGAAGTCACCTTCTAACTCTTCCACCTTGTACTTCAGCAACGAGGTTGCCCCAAGAATTTCCCGGATGTCTAGTCCTGCGTTACCAGAGTTAACAACCACAAGGTGGAAATATACTTCAAGATTCTCCTTGAAGATTTTTTCCAGTTTTTCAATAAAACGACGAAAACGCGGACCTTCGTGATGTACAGCCAGGATCAAATGGACCACAGCATCTTTGTTCCAATCCAGTCCTCTTGGATAACAGAGCTGAGCATCGGTCGTTAGGACACCGTTCTGTTCGTGATTTTGTAAAAGCACGTACTCTACGACTCTCTCTGTGTAGTCTAGAGCGTCACAACCCAATTCTAGCTCTAGAAAATACAGTACAAATCTGCTTTCGTCTTCTAAAGGAATGCGTTCAAGGTTGTAAAACCTAACAATTTTGTACTTTCTGGAAAAGAAGGAAAAAAAAGGCAAGTTGTAAAGGTGTAATGTAAAGCCAACACTGAACTAACACTACTGAAGCTGTAGGATCAATGTATTTAAAATGAAGAACGCTATAAATTCGCTAATTCAGCGCTTAATTCATTATTTTAAATATTAAAATAATACACTCACTTTGGAAAAATTTTTCCAAGTCTGGCCATGAAAAGATCAGCTAGCCTCTTTGCTTCTTTATTTTTCGTCCAGTTTCCTTCTTTATCGTTTGTTACTATGGTGACTTCCTTGACTTCTCTGTAAGCATGAAAACGAGCCACTTCCGGTTTTGTTGAGGCCGGAAGTACGAAATTACACGTGGGAAGTATACTTTTTACGATACCTTCTGTGAGAAAAGCCACAAGGTAGAACTTCGTTGTCACAGCCACGGTAGATTGGCTTTCTACATCACTCGAAACAGCAATTTTGGACACTGGATGCGAGTTAGAAAGATGCGAAATGTATTCTGAAGTTATAACTTCCAAATAGTGTTTTCCAGGTTGAATCCAATGCAATTCCACAAAATCCGCTTCGGTGCCTTGAAGATGAATTATTTCTAATGGATATTTATTTCCCTTTTCAAGGAGAAAATCATCTGTTATTTGAGAGTCATACCGAATCTCGCCGACTGGTGCGCTGCCAATTCTATCCCGCGATGCAACACTGGCCGCGAGCTTTAAACTTGTCAGACTAACATTGGAACCAAACCAAAACTCCGAGCCATCGTCAGAATACAAGACAAACTTGTAATAACCGGTTTCCTTTGGTTGCAAATAACCAGCTATCCGTTGTCCATAGTTGCTTTCATTCAGCTTTGTTTTCGTTTCCGAGATAAAATGCGACTTTTCTGCAAACCGCGGGAAGAACGGAGAATTGTATAAGTTGGATAATTTGCCACCACAAATATTAGGCCAGACTTCAACAGCTAATTTACCATAATTGTATCGATTAAGATCGTTTTCCTGGGTTGGAGTTGTTTCAAAATCGTTTTGTCTCGTCTTCGACTCCAAGTTGTTGAATAGGCTAAAATCGCTGTCTGTTATACGGCGATAAATCAGCAACAAAGCTAACAATGACAAAACGCTAGAAAGCGTGTCCAAAATCCGGAAAATAACTTTGGTTTTTGACCCTCTCATTTAGTCATTCACTCGTCATGTAAAATCGCTCATGAAAGTTATCAAGGAAATTGATGTTTCTTTGGATAATTACCTTCACTATACGCCAGGAGGTTGCCAATGAAGACCGTTCAGCTAAGCTTTCTTTGAAGGCTTTAAAGATCCATAGCCTAAACATTACAATTTTCGATAGGTCGGCAGAAAATATCAAGCTGAAATTCTTTTGAATATCAATCACGAAACCTGTTTTCGATAATATTGTTTCCTTTGTGTTGCAGTACAAAGAAAACGCTTATGTTGATATAGTTTACATGGAAACCAAAACTCATTGCGAAGAACTTCAATGTCGCGCAACAATAAAAAACAATCGTATGTCGTTAGCAAACAATCTTTGTAAAAAGTGAAAGTTACGCCACCACCACCGCCGAAATAGAGAGAATGGTGAAATGAAGCTAAAAAAGGAAATGAAAAAATGGGAAGCAAACCACAACTTTTAATATGAAGTTTTAATTAGCTATCTGAAAAGTTTTCTTTTCTGGGAATTTATAGTATCGTAATATTTGTTAATTTGTCAAATGAGCTCCTCACTTATTAAAGTATTATTCAGTTGTATTATTTCTTACCAGAAACTTCAAGAAGCATCCGGCATTAATTAACACAACGAATTATTTCACCGACTTTGCGGTAAATATCTACCATTTTCGACAGACTGTGAGGTGAAAAATTGTTGATTTCTCGCGTCGCCGGGCTGCTCGGAGTTGAATAAAGTGAGTAGTAATTGGCTGATCATCTCAGAGCTAGCCAATCAGCTCCCGAGAAGAGCACTATCCACTTATGTGTGGTATTTACTTAAAACTATTCAACTTTTTTTTTCAAGTTCATCAGCGTCCGCAAGCCTTGTTAGCTCAGTGGCAGAGCATTGGTCTCGTAAACCAGGGGTCGGGAGTTCAAACCTCCCACAAGGCTATTACGAAGCTGTTTACGTCCTTTTTTTAAAAAAAACTAACTGTTTTTCGCTACCATTAGGGTATGTTGACCATTATGCAGCCAAATAATTGTACCAAATATTAAGAAAAAAAACTGTGAGATACGTAAATAGTTTTTCTCCAGTTTCTATTTTTGTTTACGAGTTTCCTCAGGGAGATAAGTTTCGCAAAAGGCTCTTGCAATGAAACTGCTCCCCTCTCAATATTCCTCGACTGCAGAAAAGTTGACGAAACTGTTCAATATTTTCTGTACTTTCTATGGTGCACTCAAGATTAACATTCTGAGAATGAGTAAAACGTTTTTTCACTAGGCTTTTTCTTGCTATACAAGGAACATATACCTTTAAGGTCTTTAAGGGTTGTGGATTCAAACGTAAGCCATTAAGCAGCGAAACTTTCTTGAGGTGCTGTTTACTACGCTGTACAAGGTGTTTCTATATCTAAGTTAATTTTAAATCTGAGCTTGAATCTCTTCTCCTAGGCTGCCATTTGCAAACTAAAAGCGATTTTTCAATGGTTTTCTTATATTTGTCCATAGTTTTGCAAAATAATGCTAGAATATTTTTCTTTAAACTTTTCTTTAACACATCGTCGATGAACTTAGTGGCTCTCAGACTTACCAGCAAAAAAATTCTTTTATAAAATGACTTGTTTTGGCGCCTTAAGGCTTATATTAACATTTTCTACCTAATTTCCTTAAACAGGTGGCGAGACAGAATATCTTCATGTCTTAAACAGGTACCAGCCAAATGCTGTCATTACTTGAACAATCTCTCCCTGCGAGAGAGCAAGATCACAGAGAAGAGAGTATTTAAATTGCACAGAAACACTGGATCAAATTTTCCTGATTGATCTCCTGAAGAAATCTAACCGTTAAGATGGAATAGAAATTATTTTCGCATCGATGAAAGTTTTTCCAAGGAAGCAGGATTAGACGTTCATCATGGAAAGGAAAAATCTTAGATTTTGTGTGATCACGCGTAAAAACGTTCTAAAGATTTTCGTTTTAAATCTATTTTATATCGCCTTGGTGTCATGCGCCAGTATATCGACACAACGAGAGGATATTTTAGTTCAAAGCGCTACACCGCTAGAGGTAAATCCTTTAAAAGAATGCGATTCAGGGGAAAGCAACCAGATTAAGTGCATTAATACACCGGTGTGCCAATCAGAAAGCTGCAGAACGATTGCAAAGCTAATACAAGAAGTTAGAAACGAATCGGTGGACCCTTGCGAAAATTTTTACGAATACGCGTGCGGTACGTGGATTAAAAACAACCCCGTACCGTCGGGGCATCTACAGTTCTCCAGGATAACACAATTATCGAAAAATAACGAAAGGATCATGAAAAAAGCGCTGGGAACAATCAAACCCGAAGACACAGAAACCGTCTTGAAGGTGAAAAATTTTTATCAGTCTTGCTTGGATGTAAAGAAAATCGACGAGTTGGGAAATGGACCCTTGCTGGATTATATCAACAGTTTGGGATCATGGTCCCTGTCCAGTAAATGGCATCCAAGGAGATGGGATTTTTACGATGTGTTGGCAAAAGTACAAAGAGATTATCCAGTTGAAGTCTTCTTCAGCGTCAATGTGATTCAGGATCCTGTAAAAAAGAAGGAAGACGACCAGAAGAAGTATATTATACTCGTGAGTATGTTATAGACCTATGTAAAGGAATTCGAATACCCGGATTCCGAAATTTTGGGCTTTGGAATCGTAATACAGCTCAAAGAATCCGGGATCCAACTTAAGATTGGAATCCGGAATCCGAGTTCCACACACAAAGAATCCGAAATCCAGTACCTGGAATCCATAGAATCCAGAATCCAAGACTGTCTTGAATTTCCATACATGGGGCCAATATTTTAATATGTAAAAGGCACAATTTCCAAAGCTACTGCTCCCACCTCCCTGACTGGCTAACAGCCATGCTTATCTTGTTTTGCTGCGTCTAAGGATTCGCACTGGCTTTGCAGTTAGCTTAGGTTGCTGATCGTCACTTGAATTGTTTGACTGTACATTTCTTTGCATTCATTGCAAGGCTACAACGTGAAAATTCCTAATAATAATTTCACGTGACCAAAAAACAACGATGTCCTTATTCTTTTTCTGAAAGTAGTGGATAAAGTCCTTTAGAATTCAACTCCATAAAAATTAACTGAAATGTGTTAAGTCAGTGTGAAACGAGCTATTGTAGTCTTTCTTAATTCAGAGGAACTGATAACGGCTGAAATCGAACCTCCTTATTGTTTGGCGATGTGCTAGCCATATAAGGATAACAAACGGCGCTAACAATAAATGTTTTATCTTCTCATTTAGATTGACCAAGCAAAATTGAACCTTCCTCAGATTATTTACTTCACTAGTAAAAAGGTATGCAGACAAGAGGTTAGGTAGACTGCTAGTACAGTCAAACCGCTATTACATATAAACGGCCACCTTTTTGGCGGACAGTCCATACATTGACTCTTGTTTAAGCCTCTCTATAACGGCCGCTTTCTTCTGCCCCCAAGGTACCCTTTGTGGAGAGGTTCAACTGTAGTCCGTCTCCTTTTTTAGTCTGTGGAGTGGAGAGGCTTGACAGGTCTCTAGAGAACGGTTTTCCTTACGGTGATGTCTTGTATGATGCATGCACATATCAAAAGTTTGCTGTATCTCTCCGGCCTCAAAACAAAACTGAACAACTCATTTCTTTTTCCCCGGGACCATTTACCTGAATTTTCTGTCTGATCGTGTCGTTTACTTGGAGTGTGGCGCAAAGTCAGAGAGCGGGCGGGCGGGGGGGGGAGAAGGAGAAAAGGGGGGAAGGGGGGAGAAAGGAACTTCCTTCGCTCTCTCTCCCTTCCCCACCTCCTCACTGTTTTTTCTTTGTCACTAAAATCCCTTTAAGTGCCTGGAACAGGCTAAATGTTTGGTCGTTTTCTAAGCTAATTGTCGTATTCAATTCCTTTTTTCGTTGCTTTATCGATCGCTCTTTTAGATTTTAAAAGAAGTGTGGGAGTACATGTCATTAATTACCAATTTGTCAGGAACAGAATTAAACGATTCCAAAGATGCAATGAAAGAATTACTTATCTTTGAAGGAAATCTCGCTTTGGTAAGTATAATTTTTTCATAATTCTACATTAAAGAGGTTATTTGGGAACGGTCAAAGACCAAAATAAACAGTACCACGGGAAAATAATGCTGAGTGGCTTTCGTTTTAATCTTCGACAATCACTCCATAATATTTGATCCCCAGTGTCTCAACTTAATTATGATTAAATTGTACAATAGTATTAAATGCAGTGAGTAGCTTTCATTTGCGAATATTTTCACTCTAGGATTTCGTCCACAGACTTAAAAGAGTCACTTGAACAGCATGAAACAATACCACAGGAGAGTACTGCTCAGCAGCTTTAATTTGGATGGTCACACTATAAGATTTCATCTACACACTCAAAAGTTAGAACCACCTCGTAGAGCACAATAATCAGTACCACAGCAGGAAAATATTTTAAAATGTATTAGTTGTTTTTTTTAACAGTTTTTGGTCTAACACCTTACTATTTTATATACCATTTTTAACCAAAAAGGTACCCCTTTCCTATTCCTTCCATTTACAAATGGTACCCTTTTTAGTTACCTAGTTTAGAATATTGCACTCCTTTTAATTGTCGTAAATGCACTCTCTTTTAAACATGAAATAATCACCAAGCCAGAATACTTTTCACGACCCTTTCACAACCATGAGCTGCATCTGTTAGCCCTTTTGGGCTCTTTCACAGACCCAAATGACAGATTTCCCTACCTTTTATTAATATACTTCAACTAGTGAAATCCCTACCCTTTCACATACCTGAAGCCTGAAAAAGGTACCCCTTTAATTTTGGGCGGAGCCTCCTCGTATAGGCCATCATAGGAAGTACCCCCCCGCCCCAATCTTATTCTCTCATCTGTTTTCCTTTAGTACTGGGTCCCTAAAGTTTCCAAGAAGTACGTTCGCATTCCGGTTGGTAAGCTGGCAGAAGCCCTCCCTGAGGTAAGCCTGTCAAATGACTGTCAATTTTGCGCGAGATATATATAGACACTTTGGGGGTGGGGGGGGGGGGGGGTTT